CGCTCCGCCAGCCCCGCTGACCTCGCGCCCCAGCTCGGGGCTTGCGGGAGTCGGCTCGGTGCGGATGCTGTGCGATGAAATCAGCTCATCCGATCGAGGGTCCCGGGCCAGAAGGTAGAATCCGGACTCGGGGAAACCTCAGCGGCCAACCAGGATGGGTGTATTTACCCTATTTGAAATGCCTGGCTCGGTCGATCATCTCAGAAACTGAGAGGGAAATGATTTGGGAAGGGGAACGGACTCACAGGATTGTTGTGGATACCTCAACAAACCAAAACAAGCATTTATATGTATTGACTTGATTTTGTTTTTGTTTTTGAGACAAGGTCGCACTGTGTAGTTAGGCTGTCTTTAAATTCACAGTGGAGCCCAGGCTGGCCCTGAATTTACCCCGATCCTCCTACCTCAGGCTCTCCTGTGCTGGGATGACCGGCCCGGGGCCAAGACGCCAAGCTCAAAATCGGGTAGTAATTAAATCACCATATATGTAAATAACTGTGCTTTTTTCCCACTTAAGTTTCTGAAAAATAACAGAGGTAAGCACTTTTACCTTTCATAAAAATAAAGACAAGTAGACCCACATTTTTACTAAAATGTTCCTCTAAAAGTGCAACTAAAAGTAATGTGCAGAGGGTCCAATACGTTTTGTTTCATTTTCCTGAGCGGAACTAATAAAATGGGGAATAGTATTTTGCTTACTCAAGGAGCATAGGATGAGCAAGTACTTTGTTAAAAAGCAGTACGTCTTTCGTAATGGAGAGAAAACTGCTGACATTTCATTCTAATCCCGACTGTGGCTCCAGTTAGGGCAAGGGTGTTGCCTTCTACTGTCTTTTGTTTTTTGTTGTTGTTTTGTTGTTTTTTGAAACAGGGTCTCACTATGTAGTTGGGACTGACCTGAACTCACTGTGCAGCCCATGCTGGTCTCGAACTCACAGCTATCCTCCTGCCTCAGCCTCCCAAGTGCGGGGATTACAGGCGTGTGCCACCACGCCCAGCTTGTCTGTTGTTTTTGGATTTCAAATAAGTGAATGGGAAAGTGCCCTGCAGATAGGTGGGAGACTAGGGGCCTTTCACGGGTATAAGCATGGATCACGTGACAGAGAGCCGCTCTGAATCAGGCTGTCCCTTATGAACGAGGTGGGTGTGCTTGTCAGGATACTTATAAATTATGCATTTGGACAAGTACACTTTATTAAGCTGTAATGCACCTGAGAAAATCCAGGACTGGAGACTTGAACCCCACCCTCCCTGCACACATACCACCTCAGGTGTGACTAGAGTTGCGGTGGTGAATACGGGTTCTGAAGTCCAGCTGCCTAGGCTGAATCCTTACCTTGCCCATAAGTAACCTTGGGCAGGTCCTTTAACATCTCTGTGCCTCACTTTCCTCATCTGTAAAGCAAGGATAAAATTGGTGTTGTTGGTAACTTGGCTTTTTTTTTGAGACAGGGTGTTGCTGTGTAGCCCAGGCTTATCTTGAATTTACTGTGTAACCCAGGCTTCTCTCACACTTGCAGTCCTCCTGCCTCAGCCTCCCAAATGCTAGGGTTACAGGTATGCATCGCCATGCCCAGGTGTTTTGAAGATGTAATGAAGTTACTGGAGAGCTGAGCGTGGTGCCAGGCCCAGTGGTAGCTTAATAAGTGGTAGCTTTTTTTGCTCATGGAGTGGTAGAGCCAGCTCCTTGCTCTCACAGGATCTGGCCTGAGTGTCTCACCACTCAGGGAGACCCTGTTTGCACTCCTTAGGTACTTCCTTTGGGTGCTTGTTTCAGATACTGCCATAGGATTTGTGCATCGTAAAGCGTGTTTAGTTTTTGAACCAGAGCATCTGCTTCCAATAGGAGTCAGTTCTGTTAGAACAGCAGACACTGTGGGCCAGCATTCTTCAGATCAGATTTGTCCTCGAGTGCCAGTTTCACCTAAATTTCTGGGTGCTTTGGCCCTCACCTAAATTTGTTGTACAGCACCTGCAGAGTTCTTCGACATTTTCTGTCCTTCTACCTCACATAAAATGGTCTTTCTGCTTCTTTTTTTAAGGCTGTTTGAGGAAGAAAATGAGATGTATATTTCTGTGATGAAAGATTTGTGCAGTCAGGCACAGTGGTGCCACACCTGTAATGACAGCACTCGGGAGGCTGAGGCAGGAGGACAGGCGTTTGAGGCCAGCCGGGTTACATAATGAGACCCCGCCCCCCCAGGACCAGGGACTTAGCTCATTGACACCACTCCTGGCTTTGTAAGCACAAAGTCCTGAATTTGATCCTGGTACCAAAAAAAAAAAAAGTGTAAATGTGCAAAGGTCCTAAGCATACAGCTTAATGAGTTTCACAAAGTGAACACAACCACATATCCACACCCAGATGAAAAAGCAGAACATGACCATCATCCACCAAATCTCCCTTGTTTTTTCCCAGAAACCTACTTTGGTGGTGGTGAACCTAGGGCACGTGTGCTGCAGCCGGCTGTTTGTTATGGAAAGCTCTAAAATGTTCGCCATCACTGACCTACAAGGGTAGGCTATCCTCTGTCCCCAAGCAGTACTGCTGTTTTTGTTTTTTGAGATAGGGCCTCACAGTGTAGTTCAGGCTGGCCTTGAACTCACTGTGTAGCCCAAGCTGGCCTGGAACTTGTGATCCTTCTGGTTCAGCCTCCAGAGTGCTGGGATTATAGGTGTGTGCTGCCATGCCTGGCTCCCTAAGCAGTACTATTGAGTTCAGCTACTTTCACACCGTGTTTATTTCATCATTTAGGTGAAATAGATGTCATCGTACTTGAATCCAAGGGAACCTGTGTTGATATGGATTCTTGGGGGCTAGAGAGAACTGGAGAGTTTGATAGTGCAGTTGGACAAAAAACGATAACAGTAGAGCTGGTCATGGTGGTACACAGCTAATCCCAGCACTCGGGAGGCTGAGGCTGGAGGACCACCTTGAATTTGAAGCCAGCCTGGCCCACACAGTGAGTTCAAGGCCAGCCTCAACTACATAGTGAGACCCTGTCTCAAAAACAAAAAAGGGGCCTGGGGATTTAGCTCATTGGTCTGCCACTTGCCTCATAAGTGCAAGGTCCTGAGTTCAATTCCTGGTACCCCAAAACAGACAAATAAAACAAAAACAACAACAAAAGGTAACAATCAAAAACAAGTTCCCTGTGTTCTGTAAAGGATTCGAGTAGCTGAAACATCCCAGTGCTGCTAATGTAGCCTGTGGCTGCCAGGTTGTTAACAGTAGAAGAGGAAAGTCCAAGGGGAGGCCAGTGTTGGCATATGGAATTGGCGTGCAGTTCACCTGAGTCACATTATCCCAGGGAAGGAAGGCAGTGGTTTTCTGAGAGTTTTTCATTCTGTTTTGTTGAGACAGGTTCTCAGTATGTGGTCCAAGCTGGCTTGGGACTCACTATATAGCCTCAGGCTGGCCTTGAACCTATGGTAATCCTCCTGTCTCAGCCTCCCAAGTTTTGGGATTACACGTGTGCCACCACACTCAGCTGTTTTGTTTCCGAAGAGCAGGTCTGTTGCATCTGGGTGCAGCCTGAGCAGAGGCTCAGCCGTGGCTGTCCAGTGGTTGTGTGTTGCTTAGGGGAAGAATGAAAAGAAAACAGGGCAAGGAGGAGCCCTCAGAGCTCTTACCCAAGTCTTATTCGGAGGAGCAGCCCCGGGGCTCAGCTGGAAGGGATGTCCCCACTGAAGCGGGGCCCTCAGGTGCTCTGGGGGATGGCGAGGAGAAAACTGACCCCTCAGGGCTCCTCAGCACCCACTTTCTGCTGGATACTGGAGAGTGGGGAGAAGCCACACAGCCTCGTGTTGCAGATGCAGGATCCGGAGGGTCGCAGGCTGAGGCCCGGGCTGAACTCTGGGTTTGTCACTGCTTGGCCATGGTGGTGCTGGCAGATTCTGGGCAGCTGTCAGCCTCAGCGGTGGGGACCTGCTTGGAGCGTTGTGGTGGGAGCTCCATTCCAGCAGTGTGCGGTTCCCTCAGCGCAGCATTGGGCCCATGACGGCGGCTCGCGGGCTGCATCCAGTGAAAGTCTTACACCACACTGCCCTGTAAACTTCTGTTTCTCTTTTTATAGATGACACTCTTATCCACAGAATCATGGCCTAAAAATAGGCAGTGCTTCGCTAATTTGCATGTTGGTCTTGCACAGGGGCTGTGCTAACCCTCTCAGAAACATTCCAGTTTTAGTGGATGTGCTTCCAGAGCCAGCACTTTTTCTTCAAAGACCAGATGGCAAATATTTTCAGGACCTGTGATCTTGCTGAAACTACTCAGTTCTGCTCTTGTCACTCAAAAGCAACCATATATATATATGGGTGTGGCTGTGTTTATGACAAAAACAGGAGCAGGCTGGATGAGCTCTGTAGGTACCTGTGTGCACACCCCAAAAGTCCTTGCCAGTGCATCTGGGTACTCTGTCAGAGAAAGGTGTGTGACCGGGCCTCTGGTGAACCGAATCTCTGTGGTCGTGGCGTTTTGCACATCTTATCCGACTTGCAGGGTGGACATGGACTCTGTGAGTTCAGGACATGCCACGTATTCAGTTGTTTGTTGTTGTTCTGGGTACCACTGAGCTCCATCCTCAGCTCTTGTTTGTTTTGTATTTGGATTAAACTCAGGTCCTTTCACCTGTGAGGCAGGTGGTGGCACCACTGAGCTAAATCCCCAGCCCTCAGCTCTTTTTGTTGTTGTTGTTGTTCTTGTATTTTGAGAAAGACTCTTGCTAACTTGTTAAATGTGCAGGTTGGGCTCAAACTTTCCATCCTCCTGCCTCAGCCTCCTGAGTGCTGGGATTACAGCATGCACCACAACATGCAGACATGTATCGGTTATTTAAAATACTACTGAACACCTTCACCAGGTCTTCAGTGTTCTGGACCCTGAGAGGCTGCTGTGAATAGGCAGAGAAGGCCTCTGATTTCATGGAGGTGCTGTCCTAATAGGAGAAGATGAGGAATAAATCAGTAGGTAAAAGCTTGACAATTTCAGGTTGTGATCAGTGCTGCTCAGTCTTTAGGCAAAACATATGGTAAAGATTTGGCAGGGAACTTGGGTTTGGAGGATGGGAAGACTTGTCCAGAATAGGGACATTGCGTCCAGCAAGGATCGCTGACTAAGATAAAAGAAAATTTTTTCTAAGCAAACAAGTAGTGGTTTTAAAAGCACACAAGTAGCTCAAAGTATATATGGAATGAAAGGTAACCTTCCCCTAAAGCAGAGAAATGTATTGTAATGAAGTGACTGGCTCTGACTGCTGCTGGGTGGTCAGTGACGGTCTTCCTGACCAGGGTCACACATGCACCCTGTTGCGTCTCTGAGACAGCTTGTTTCTGGCCAGGCCCACCTTGAGCGGGAGGCTCCCTGTTACGGTTGGGATCCAGGGACCAGGTGACTGGGCTGCATCTGTTGTCATCCCACCCTCAGTGCAGCAGAAGAGGCTGCCCTGGGGCTGGGCTTTCTCCTGTTTTTTCTACTCCTTCAGGTAGGTTCTTCGGGTAGATCTGCCAGGACATTAAAGACGAATGAGTGTAGCCCATTCCTGGAAGAGGCTTGGTAGATAGGGATGTGTGAGGGTTCTATTAACCATTTGTTTTGTTTTGTTTTCGGTACTGGAATTGAACTCGGGTCCTTGGCACTTGCAAGACAGGCAGCGGAATCGCTGAGCTAAATCCCCGGCCCCAACCATTTGGTTTAGATCAATAATTTGTTTGTTTGTTCTTTGTTCAGTGAATTTTTGTTTTGTTTTGTTTTGTTTTTTCCTTTCTTTTTCTTTCTTTTTTTTTTTTTTGGAGACAGGGTCTGGCTTTGTAGTTCAGGCTGTCCTAGAATTCACTGTGTAGCCCAGGCTGGACTCGAACTCACAGCAATCCTGCTGCCTCAATTTCCTGAGTGCTGGGATTACAGGGGTGCACCACCACACCTGTCTTGGATCAATAGTTTTGTTCTCTATGAATTCAGGGAGAGATATTTTGAAAATCACTAGGGCAAAGATCTAAATAAAATATCCACACTTTTCTCCATGTCTCCTCTTCCCCAGGGTCCTGACATTGGATATGGCCATCTCTCTGTTCTTTTTCTCACAAAAAAGAGACTGGGAGGGACTTAAAGGCCCTCAGCCCACTCCAGCTCCATGGGTATCCCTCCCAGGCCCAGGAACAGAAGCAGCCAAGTGATAATGGCTTTTTCTGAGCCCTGCCCATTCTGTTTAAACATGGCTCTCCTTCTATGTAATGTTCTCTGACATCAGATTTCTGTGAAGGCCGTGGCCCTGTGGTCCTTCCTGCTCCTCACAGAAGGCCTGGGCCCTGTCTCACCGGGGCTTGGCTCTCCACCCCCTTTGCAAGGCCTCTGAGGGGAGAGGCAGGTCCCCCACCAGCAGCGGCCTCTGCTCACGCTGGCCGGCCAGGCCCACTCCCTGCCGTCGTTGGTAGTCGCAGTTCACGCTCCGGGGTGTCGGGTGCAGCAGGCTCAGTTGCTGCAGTCTTCCCAGGATGTACCCATCTGGATCCTGGTATGAAAAGAGACTCACAGGAAACTTGAAGATCAGCTGCCAGTTGGCAAAAATATTAGGTCTATGAAAATGTTGAGTCTGTAAAGCTCATGTGTTAAGTATAAGGGGCAGGATGGCCATGGTGCATTTGAGTGGAGAGAGAGCAGAGGAGCCAGAGTCCCCAGTGTGACTGTTGTGCTCCTGGGCAGGTCCTGACCCCCTGAGTGTGCAGCGCTCGTCCTAGTATTCAGCACACGGCAGGGGCTGCTGCTGCCCACGTTGGCAGCACTCACACCTGGGGAGGCGCTGGACTCTGCTGTCCCACGCACTGCCGGTGAGGTGGGCTTCATGGCACGGCAGCTGCCCTGGCTCCAGTCCCGGCTCTCCTCCGGGAGCATCTAACCTGGGCCGCACAGTGGTCAGCTCGAGTGGTGTCCTCTGCGCAGACTGCGCTTAAGACGTGAACATCCCGGAACTTCCATTAGAGGGAGAAAACAAGGGCGGGTTCTGGAGAGTCGCCTGGCTGGGGCTGAAAGTTCAGGTCACTGATCCGTTGTTATTGTGAGCCCCAGGGTCCTGAGAGCGGGTCCTCAGTTCCCATCCAGGCAGCTTGCCCGCGGCACGCGCGGGCACACTCATACACACGCACACACACGCACACAGTGCAGAAATCCAGAGGAAGACAGGGGCAATTTCCTATACCCCCTTCATCGTATTTCATAGTTGCAAGCACAGAGTCTGGGAAATCCAGTGGGAACTAGGAAGGGCCTGGAGCGCACCTGAACCCCAGTTTAATTTCCGTAGTCAGTACTCACTGATCAAGGTTTCGCCCCAGGTTCTTTGTGGTATCACAGGCTGCTGAGGCCGGACGCACGCGCACACTGAGGAGAAAGAGCGGGAGGGTAGCATCACCAGGTCTGTCCCCTGCTTAGCAGTTCGTGTTACAAAACACTTGTAAAGGTACAAGACCCCAGTGATGAATGTAGCTGTATTGTATACCTGAAATGTGCCGATAAACAGTGAGGGCAGAAAAACACGATTCCTTTCATCACGGGAGCTGGTACATGTGCATAATCATCTGAGCTTTTTTTTAATCCATTTCTTCCCTCCCTTCCTACTCCCTCCATCTCTTCACCCCCTTCCCTTTTCTGAAAAATCTGTCTCCCTGTTTCTCATTATCTTCTATTTTATTTTGGTTTCTCACGAGAGAACCCAAGCAGTATTTAAGCTTGTGTGTCTGGTTAATGTCACTTAACATTGTGGTCTCAGGGCACATCATTTACACATGACAAGTTTATCCTTCTGTGTGGCACAGCAGCGCTCCACTGTGTGTAAATGCAATTCTTTCTGCCTTCATCTGGGCTGGACATAGAGGCCGCTTCCAAGATGTAGCTGTCACGAGCTGTGCTGCTATAAGCATGGGTGTGCAGTACGTATCGGTGTAATGATGTCTTTTTTCTTTTTTTGGTAGGTCAGACAGGGCCTCACTATGTAGCCCAGGCTGGCCTTGAACTCATGGCGATCCTCCTGCCTCTGCCTCCAGAGTGCTGGGATTACAGGCGTGCGCCACCATACTCCACTAGTACCATTTGTTTAACTCTTGGGAAGATACCTACGAGGGGAATAGGTGTGTTGGATAGACTTTCTAGTTTTAGTTTTTTGAGGCCTCTCCACACTGATCTCCGTAGTGATTGTACTAGTTTACATTCTCATCTTTGTCTCTGTGGCCCCGCCCCCGCAATTTTTTTTTTTTTTTTTTTTTTTTTTTTTTTTACTGGGGATTGAACTCAAAACCTC